TCGCTACATTTCCCAAAGTGCTTTTTCTTACACTTATCACACCACTTCGCTTCTCCCCCTTTTCCCCCACCAAACCTTTTCGAATCAGATTTCGAAAATTTACTTTTCTTACCGGAACCAGATGTTCCCTCAAACTTCCTCTTCTCACCAACCTCAACCTTGTTGGTGGTTCTCCCCTTGATCATGTTCTCAACAGACTTGGCAGCCCAGATAGCTTCCTCTAAAGTATGTGCCTGACGTACTGGCACCTCATACTCCCATGGAAGTCCCTTCGCATACCGGTCCACCTTCATCAGCTCGTCTGGAACGATACGCAAGGCAAACTCCATCTTATCGGTGAAGTTATTGGTGTATTCATCAACTGACATGCTGCCTTTCGTTAGTGTCAGAAACTTGTTCTCCAATTCCAACAGATTTTGAGCCGAGCAGAACTTGCGCTTAAACTGCACCAAGAACTCTGCCCATGACAATTGCAGTGGCTCATTTGGGCTTACGGTCTTTCTAAAGTGTTCCACCAACGAACGGCTCCACCTCGGAATTGACGCACGGCATAGATAGTTTGCAACTTACCTCTGCAGCCACACGTCATGAAGGCTAATTCCATTTCGGAGATCCAATCCATAACCCTAATCGGATCCTCCTTTCCATTGAAGGTCGATGGTTTGCAAGTCAAAAAGTCCTTGTACTTGCAACCCATTCCATCATTCCTTCCATCGCGGTTATCTTGCCTAACTATCGGTGGGTTGGCTTGACCAACTGATCCACTGAAGTTTCCACCTTCCGAGTGCCCTTCATTTAATTCAGGCTCTTCCACACGAATTGACAATTCTTCACGATTTTGTTGAAGAAACCGTCTAGTTTCATCCATTTTGATGATCCAACATCGCCTGAATCATCAATTGCACACCAGCCATGGTTATTGGCTCAGGTGTTGCTGCTACAACAGGTCTTTGTTCAATCACTGGTGGTTGATTCCTGTTTTCATCAGCATTTCCAACTCCACTTCTTGTTCTCACCATTTTGATCTACACACCGAATAAGGTGAAATTAGATCCTTATTCACGATAGATATTCAAATCATCCTTATCACTCCGAAACGTTTACATGCTAGTTCTAATATCGTAGACGTACGCTTAGAATCCTACACACATAAAGTTTCTAGATCCGGTCGGCAACAGACCATAGATCCGAACAAATAATATCATATATGGCAACATATAACATTTAGCACATAAAAGCATTTTAGGCAACTTCCTAAAATAAACTAGTGCTCGTGTCTAAACATAACAGACACACATCTCAAAATTCCACTTAGCATTCTAAGTTTAAGTCTAGAAATCCTAAAATTCCTAGTTCGCTTAAACTAATGCTCTGATACCAACTGTGACATCCCCAAAATCTCGGCCAGAAAAGACCGATTTTCATTTATGCTTTTAAATATTTTCAGAGTAAATCCTTTTGATTTGAAAGAGTTGCGGAATTTGTTCCCAAAAACAAAACATGATAAAACAATGTTTACCAAAGCATTTCATAAAAGAAATGTATTTTTCATTATATAATCAAAACTCGGGGTGTCATGTTCCGATATAGACCAATAAGCATAAACGAATACATTACAAGTCATATAACAAATATAAACATATGCAGACTTGTAAACAAAACAACTTGATGGTTCATCCATCTTACGCCCTTGCGCCACTTCCTGTAATACAAATAAAACTGAGTGGGTCAGGCTTGGGAGCCTGGTGAGCATATAGGGTTTTCAACCCACAATAAATAATTAAATTAATTATTATCAACCAACAATAACCCAGTTACCCATTCCCGTTATTCTCACTTTACGTCCCTAAAATAACTAACACAAGGGACCTAATCTAAGAATATTTTCATCGGGGTGACAACACATGCTGCGGGGTTTCCTCAGCAATATAAGTCAAATAAGGCAACCATGAGGGGGATGGAATACAGCGAATGAACACCCAAGTTCATTAACACCTACAGGTTATGAGCCTGCTAGCGTTCCACTGACTATCTAGAAAAGTCGTGGTCGTCATCTAAATTCCGCTAGATGACTGGATCAAAACAACAACGAGGCCTCTCATCTGTTTATTACACACCAACTATCTACCCATGTTCTACCCAACATATTAGTAGATAAAAACATACATTTTTATACATATTTTCAAAACCTGTATAGCATGCTTGATCAATACATTTTCCATATAACAGATGAGGCACACACACATAACACGTATTTCATATAGAAATAATCATATCTGTAAGATAGAAGAAAGTGAATATACATTCACACACATAACAACAAAATATACACATAACACGTATCTCGTATAAAATACTTCATAGTTATACGTTATGAGAAAGTAACAACGCATTCACAGTATAAACGACAATAAACTTAATACCTCGAACCATACTTGTATTATTATTGCGTTTATGAAAGGTAGTATACACTCACTTGATCAGAAGATGATCGGACAGCACTACGACTTGCAGAAGTAGTAATCCTCCGCAGATCTGGAAGATCTCTACGAAAATCGAACTTCTCGCGGGCAGAGCTTCGGCTCGGAAACCGCACTTCTCGGGATCTTCGGGATCTCGGGACTCGCTTCGGGACTCGGGAATATTACCGGGGCTTCGGGATGGCTTCGGGGGTAAAAACGCAGAGCTTCGGCACAAAAACGAGAGGAAATTAGCAATTTGGCCGGCTGCCCTCACATCCTATTTATAGGAGGCTGGGAGCCTCATTTATGCGGGTGCCTCCGAATTGCATCATCGCATGCGTCATCCGAAGTGTCGACACTTTGGCTGTACACGGGGCGTACTCGAGTACGCGGCGTGTACCTCGGATCAGAGCTGTGACTCGTCTTCGGATAATGCTTCCGAATTTTCAATTAAAAATAAATACAAATTAATTAATAAACTTCGGAAATTCATATCTTCTTCATACGAACTCCGTTTTCGACGTTCTTTATATCCACGGAAAGGTGAGACTACGCTCTACAACTTTCGTTTAGACTCCGTCGGCTAATTTTGATTTTATTTTTATTATTTATTTTTAATAGGCCGGGACAGAAACTTTCGTTATAAATTCATAACTTCTTCGTTTGACGTCCGTTCTCGCCTAACTTTTTATCGCTTTGATACTAACAACGAGATCTTCGATTCTCGTTTAGATCACTAAGGCTAAATATCGCTTTAACGTAAATTTCACTTTTTACGTTATTCAGCGTTGCCGGTTCTGTCGCAAAACTTCGGCAGGTCATAACTTCCTCGTTATAACTCGGACTTCGGCATTCTTTATATCTTCAGAAACCTTGTTTCAACTACTACAACATTATCTAAAGATATCAAGTTTATTTTACCCTTAAATTTTGACGCTTATTTTTATTCTTAATTAATCAAACTACATAATGAAGCAATTAAGCACAAATCACATAATACTCAAATAATACAATCTTATTATTTCAAAACGGGTTACAAAGGTTAACCTAGACCATTACATTGCTAAAAATGGCAAGCCTGGAAACACAGGTGTTACACCATCCTCTCTCTCTCTCTCTCTCTAACCCTAGACACAACCACTGGCCATTCACGTTCCTTCTTGCTCCATATTTTTTACCTTCGTCGGATCTATCTTCTTCTCCCCCGATGCTATCTTCTTCTTGCTCCATAAAATAAAATCAGTGACCAAAGAATCAGGCTCGCTTCTTATTTTGCTTTTCCGTCTCCAACAAAAACCCTAGTTTCTATCACCGCTTCTTGTCCCTCAGAAAATCTTCCATAGAACCGGCGATTGGGGGTCTGCGACTCTTCACGTTGACAACGCCCTGCCGCAACTCACGATGGGGCCCAACGGTGAAGCAATTACATAACATGGTTGACTGATCTGGCATATTTACTTTCATATTCATCTTCTTCCTCTCTAGCTTCCCCTAAATACAAAATTAATCCCACTGTTGAATTAGTGAATTAGGGGTTAGGGTTTTGAGTGATTTGCGGAGAAGATGGTTGGCTCTAATGACCAAAAACTTCCCGGAATTGGGATTGAGAAAAGAAGATTGTGTGGAAGGAAGTTGGATTGACTACGTACTTTACTGGGCCTACTTCAACAACACAACCGAAGACACAGTGAGGTAAAGTTTACGGGTTGCAGCTACTCTTCCCCTCCATTTCTCTCTTTCTCTCTCATCTCTCATCTCTCTCGCTCTAATAAACTCCCATGTTTATTCCTTTTGAATGCTCTCTCTCTCTCTCTCTCTCTTACATTTTTTAGATCGAGGTGCTCTCTTGTCGTCGATGTTTCTGGATGTAGTCCTTCACATACAGGTATGATTTAGTACAAGCTTACTTTGCATCTCATAATACATCCAATAATTAATGTCTATATATCTTAAATATAATAATGCATATCTTTTTTGGTGAATAGACAAAAACGGGAACTGTATTTATTTAGTGTGTAACTGAAATTACTCATAAGTCATAAGTGCCCTTGTTAGAAATAACAATTGATCCCATGTGCATATAAATACATAATCTTTTTATGGATATACATCATGAATCAATATGCAAAATTGTTTCCATAATCCATATACCTCCTAAATTTTTAATTGAAATAAATGTATTGGCCATTATCTATATTACACATGCTTTTGTAGTGTTATAGAGAAATATGCCAATTTAGCTGATAGAACTTCTGAAGAACAAAGATTGTTATCAATAAAGGACATCCCATACTGGTAGTTGCTGCAGATTTGAGGGGATGGAAGTAGATATATCATTGGGCACTAATTACTAGGAATCATTGAACATTGCATCACCTTCCTTTTTTGTTTATTATTCATTTATTTGTTTTTTTTCTGTGTAATAAAGAATGCAGGGTCTGAAGGTGAGTTTTTTTTTTTGCTACCAATCCTGAATTATCAGGTTCACCTCCAAGGAGGGCTCCACCAGTTGTTCCTTTTGTGGCCCCATCACCCATTATGTCAGACATAACATCACTCCCCTTTGAGGCAACAGAAGAGGATGAACCAGTTATATCCAACTCAAAATCTTTTAACTCAGGCCCAGCTCAGAATTTAACTGTTGATGACATTGATGATTTTGAGGATGATGATGATTTGGAGGAACTGAATAGTCGCAGGTATTCAAGGAGAACAATGAATGATACTATTGATCTTGTTGTGGGTTTGCCTTCATTTGCAATAGGTAAACACAAATGATGGAAAGTTTTATGAAAATATTGTATCATCTTCTGAAATTGGTGTGTTAAGTTATGTGTTTGGTCATTTCTTCAGGTATAACTAATGACGATCTTCGTGAATCTGCCTATGAAATCCTTCTGGCTGCTGCAGGAGCTTCGGGGTATCTTTTCTTTCTTTTCTATCTTTGGCTCTATGCATGAACTTTATTTTGTACACACACATAGTTTTAGCCATTCTTTTGAATTCCCATTTTGCTGTGATTGATTCTGTCTGGACTACAGATCTGCCAAACTACCATTTGACTATTATGTAATGATTGTTTAAGCAAGGGACTTATAGTGCCATCAAAGGAGAAGAAAAAAGAAAATAAATCCAAATTGTTGAAGAAGCTTGGAAGGAGTAAGAGTGAACAAGTTACAAATCAATCCCAACAATCGACTGGTTTGACTGGCCTACTGGAGACAATGTGTGTCCAGATGGAGGTACAGACTATATTTTTGTTTTATATATACACTGTTTTATATAGTAGTCTATTTTTCTTGTATGATATATGGTTTGTTTGCATGTTGGACATGATTGATGGGGACTATTAGAAACCATACAGAGTTTAGGTTTGCTCTTACCAGATAGGAGTTCTATTACAGATATTACTATTAGTTATATAAAGTATATGCTACTTCCTTATGTCATGTTATTAATTAGTAGACTCTGGACCCCACAAAGTTGTGCTTGATAATAATAATGATTGTTGTAAACACAGATTTCTGAGGCGATGGACATTAGAACAAGACAAGGGCTACTCAATGCAATGGCTGGAAAAGTGGGGAAAAGAATGGATGCTCTTTTGATTCCTCTCGAGTTATTATCCTGTGTTTCTCGAACCGAATTTTCTGACAAAAAAGCTTACATAAGATGGCAAAAGGGACAAGTCAGTACCTTCTCTCTCCGTTTTGTTTCGTAGCCTTATCATATTATTCATGGGCATGTGTAAGTAAATTTCCAACTTTAACTAATATTGATGTAAGATGTTTGATCCAATGTTCAGTTGAATATGTTGGAGGAAGGACGTGTGAATCACCCAGTTGTGGGATTTGGAGAATCTGGTCGCAAAGCAAGTGAAATGAGGATTCTATTGGCAAGAATTAAAGAATCTGAGGTTAAAATGAGATATTTTTAGTTTTTACATATGCTATGCTCTATTGCACTTACTTTATCATTTTTTAAATTTGTCTTATTTCAGTCATTTGCACCTTCTGTGGGTGAACTTCAACGCATAGAATGTTTGAGATCTTTGAGGGAGATTGCCATTGCACTTGCAGAGAGGCCAGCTCGTGGTGATTTAACTAGTGAAGTATGTCATTGGGCAGATGGGTATCATTTGAATGTCAAATTATATGAGAAACTTCTTTCCAGCATTTTTGATGTTCTAGATGAGGGGAAACTAACTGAGGTATGTAAATTTTATATCCAATGTTAAGCATGATTTTTGTTATAAATTGATTAAATTTCGTCCCTGCACCTGTACCCTTACAAACCATGGTAGCATGATTAACATT